TTGTCAGATGAAGGTGTATCACTATGAGAAGACCAACGTACCTGGAGAGTTCACCTACTTCAGCACACGTAAGTTTCTGCTCACTTTTAATCTGACTCATCAACCTTCCCAGGAATGAGAAGACAGGTTTACTTAGTTACAGTGTAAATTTTTGACTGGCACTGAGTGAGTGTTCCCAGCAGTAGAGCAAAAAAAAATGTATGTCTGGATCTGCAACAGTGCGAGCAAATATCCGCAACCACAGATGGATCACTGAGCAGGCCTCAGGGCCCAAAGTATCAGGGCTCCCCTCTGGCCTTCATTGGCAAAATGTCACTGAAATTAACAAGTATTGACCAGGAAGAGACTCAAAATGACTACAAAGAGACACCAGAAGACTAATAGGAGAAGCAAAGAGACAAAATGGGGAAAAACATTCCCAAAGAGACACAAAAGGAACACAAGAGGATGCAAAGACACACACATTATCTACCAAAAAAGGTAGGACAGCCACAAAGAGACACAAAAAGACTGCAAGAGGATGCAAAGAGACACAAAATAGCTACAAAATGGGGGAAAACGTCCTCAAAGAGACACAAAAAACTACAAGAAGATGCAAAAAGACACAAATTAACAACAGAACGGGGCAAAACAACCTCAAAGAGACACAAAAAGACCACAAGGAGATGCAAAGAGACACAAAAAAGCTACAAAATGGGGAAAAACATTCCCAAAGAGACACAAAGGGAACACAAGACGATGCAAAGAGACACAAAAAGACTGCAAGAAGATGCAAAGATACAAAAAATAACTACAAAACAAGATAAGTGAAGACGACAAGCAGAAGATTTTGGTTTGACACAACAACCACAAAGTGACACAAAAAGACCATAAGGAGATGCAGAGACACAAAGTAGCTACAAAATGGGGAAAACATCCACAAAGTTAAATTAACAGCAGAACAGGGCAAAGCAACCACAAAAGACCACAAGGAGATGCAAAGAATCACACATTAACTACAAAATGGGGCAACACAAGCACAAAGAGACACAAAAAGACTACAAGAGGATGCAAGGAGACATAAAATAGCTACAAAATGGGGTAAAAAAAAAATCCCCAAAGAGACACAGAAAGACTGCAAGAGGATGCAAAGAGTCACACATTAACTACAAAATGGGGCAAAACAACCACAAAGAGACACAAAAAGACCACAAGGAGATGCAAAGATACACAAAATAGCTACAAAATGGGGCAAAACAACAAAAGAAGACACAAAATCATAAAAAAGAGCCAATACAGGAGTAGGAGAGGTGATGGGGTCTTTTGCAGAAATGTGCCCAGGTTCCTATTGTCTATCGATCGTCTCACGATCCACCCATGGCGCCAGGCTGTAGATATGTGATGCACAGTTTCACATTTTTTTATTGGATTTGATTTGCTTACTCAATCTGATTCCAGCTGGGGACTGTAAGAATCATTTAAGGCTTATAAATAAATATTCTTGTCAAGTGACCCACATGACCACACATGATCACATATGACCACAACGAGCACATGAATAAAAGCCATAGTGCCCAGGCAAGACATGTGACAATCATTACAGTCAATATGTATTTATAAGTGCCGTAAAAATGATTTATGATAAATGTTGCAAGAATGAGAATGAAAGCAAAGCAGAAATATATTATATTATATTATTTTATCCTATAGAGAACATTACAATGTCACTTACATGGATTTCCATTCATTCTCATATGTCTCTGGTTAGGTTAATATGTCATGCTGAATGACAGGAAGTCTCTGTCCCTCACTTCCGTGTTGTGTTTTCTGTCAGGCCACAACATGGTGAAGGACATCACTGTGGTGGAAACAAACTACACTGACTACGCTCTGGTGGTCAAACACAAGGTTTTTCACAGAGAGTACACACAGGTGGCACTTTACGGTGAGACACACACACACATTTTTACATTATGCTAAACCTGTGAGCTGCAGAGTCAACACCAACTGTATGTGTCTCTGTACTTGTCTGCAGGTCGCACTCAAACGGTCAGAACTGATGTAATTCAGAAGTTTAAAGTCTTGGCTATGCTCCAGGGTTTCCCCACACAGTCTATCTTGACTCCACCTCCAGCAGGTAAAGTGAGGAATACACACATATCTACACATAAAGATTTTACACACGCACACACAGGGATAATGAGGAGACTTAAGTGACCCTAAAGTTTCCCTTATTTTTTCTGGCCAACAGAAAATTGCCCAGCATCAAGATCTGGTTAGGTGAGTCTTATTTTTTATATTTCAAATGCAAAAACCAGGGGAGTTACTTGTACATTCAGGTGTATGAGTGTAAATGACCTTCTGTTACTTCCTCTAGGGTCCCTGATGTACCTGAGATGACGGTGGCAAGCATATTCTGACATATCGCTCCAGCTCTGTGCTCACTGGTTTCGGTTTCCTGGGATTTTGTATAAAGAACTTTAAAGAACTCTCTCAGCAAGCATCATCATTCAAGCTACAAAAATAACAAAAGCAATGAAATGTATGCATCTTCCTCTTTTATGTGGTGTTTTACATTATTTCCAAGGTTTTGCCGCACTGACATAGATAAACATACTAATATTAACCCCCAGGCTATTTAAATCATTTCTGTTTTTTCCAAGTCACCAAGCTTTTTTTCAGCCAAATTATGAGTTTTTAATGTTAACCACCTGAATATAATCAGTTGTGCTTTTCCACATTGTTGACAGAGTTAAATAAACAATATTAACCTCCAGCTTGATTGCAAATGCATGTTTGTGTGTGTGTTTATTCTACAGTTTGTGCAGGTGGTGTTGTTCACATATAAACACCAGGGGGCAGATAGTACACATCACTGCACGTCAGTGTTTTACTGCTGTGAATCAGACCTCATAGCTCTACAATGTGCCATCTTGTGCTAGCTAATGCTAAAGCTAGCAAGATAATATAATATCATACAGCCTATAATGCACATTTAACAATCAAGTCAAAGCCACTATGTTGAGTTTGGTGCCCCCTGTGGTAGTTTCAGAAAAGACACAGTGGCAGAGAGTAATCCAGCCTTTTACTGGTAAAGGTTGTTGGAAACCTTTACTACTACAAGAATAATGGACTTGCACCTGTATTGTGCCTTTTTTGCCTTTAGCACTACATGTCATGCCACCTGCTACTCAGTTTAAATGTGCTCACATACTGATGGCACAGCCATCAGGAGCATTTTGGGGTTCAGTTTTCTTGACCAAGGAGACTTTGACATGTGAAGCTGGGCATCAGATCAGTGATCTTCCAATTAGAGAACGACCCGCTCTACCTCCTGACCCATGGCTGCCCCTACAGAAGCCATTTTGGGCCAAAAAGAATAAATACATATTTAAACCTTATAATGAAGGTAACAGGCTATTAAGTCTAAATTAGTTTATCAACTCCACTAATAGGGCTAATTGAGCACTCAGTATCTTTTACGGAAAGCTAGCTACCCTGTTGTGGGCTATTTGTGATTATTTGGTTCTTTAACCTTACACTAAGACTATTAAATTCTTTATTTTGCTTCAAGACTTTTGCTTTTTTGGATTTGTAATCTATAGTTTGCCAACCTAGGGAGACTCAAGACTAGCCAATGCTAGGGAGGTTTGGCAGAACTCACTTTTTACTGACTAGAGCTTTAATGCTTCACAATGTAAATCAATGCAACCTCCAGGAGTTGATTGTTGCTGCCACCAGCTGTTTAGAGGTAACGATAACTGTCTCTTCTCTTGCAAATTTCAATACAGATTTGTTGTTGTTGTTGTTTTCATCTTCTGTTTTTCCACATACACTCCCTTCAGTAGTGTAGTGGTAGTTGAGTGAGCGCCAGAGAGCGTTTGCTGTTTTGACATGATAAAGATACAGCCTGTTTTGTGGATCCCGTGACAACGGATAACTTGCCCATCTCCCCCAGAGAGCAGGTAATGTGTAACAAGCACCCAAAAAAAGGCCTCTATTATTTAGGAGGCTTTGCTATCTAGTTATGTTGTTGTGGCGTACATACTGCCTACACCCAGGGCGGGCCCTACCCAGGGATCTAAAATGTCGAGGGCCTCCCCTGCTTTCACTTGCAAAATGTCACTCAAAGAGACACGTACCAACCAGGAAGAGACTCAAAATGACCACAGTAAGGGGCAAAACAAACAAAAAGTGATGCAAAGCATCCAAACAAAGACACAAAATTACCCCAAAGAGACACAGAATGACTACAAGGAGACACAAAAAAAGAGGCAAAACCACCAAAAGGTCTGTGTGTCTTGCTCCTATGTAAGAGAGGTGGTGGGGCCTTTTGCATAAATGTGCCCAGGGGCTCACTGTCTCGTAATCCATCCATGGTGCCAGGCCGTAGGCATGTAATGCACATTTTAGGTGGAGAAATGTTTTTAATTCAGTGGTTACACATTTTTGCAGTTGAATAGTGTAAGAATCAGTTTAGACCTTGAAAGCCAGAGGCACTGGAGGGGGGCTGAAGAGCCCCATGCAGCACTGCAGGTTGTCTACTCTTGCTGTAGTAACAGGCTTATCCTACAGCAGACATTTTGACTTGTCATAGCAGGAAAAGCACAGGTGTTATTAATAACAGTAATGATGCCTCTGTTCTGTTGAAGTGTTCCAGTGAGAGTGACAGCGAGCAGGCATGCACAATACCATGAACCTGAAATCAAATCAAAGCAAATAAATGGAATTCAGCCATCATTAATTTCATTATTTACACCTGAGCTTTTCCTACTGTGACGAGCCAAAATGTCTCCTGTGAAGAAGACGATTATCTGCTGACATGTATTTATTGGCTGTTTGTTTGCCTCAGATTCTGAGGTCCAGTGATTCATTGCTGATTAAATGGATCGCCCCCACTCATGCAGACACACACACAAAGAAGAGATAAAGAGACTTTGCTCTTTTAGTTTTGTGTTTCCTGTAGTGTTGTGGGAGGGAATTTACAAAACCCAAAACAGACAGTGAGTCAGTTTGACTTACAGGGGCTGACAAGATGCAGAGAGCCGTGATTCTGGTGTGTCTGGTGGTCATGGGGTTGGCCTGGATTGGGCAAGCAGTCCCAGTGCTCCCAGACCCTCTTATTCTCACACAGGAGAACTTTGATCTGGGCCGGGTGGGTAGGCTAAAACATAAGTTCTAGTATTTTCTTTATAGATGATGTCATATTTTTCTCTTTCCCCCTCCATCTTTTTGTCATGCACAAAGCTTTGCTGCACAAACATTTCTGTGTCCCTTGCAGTTCATGGGCAGGTGGTATGAGGTAGCTGTGGTGTCTACTTGCCCTCACTTCATGCAGCGCAAGAGGGGAAACCCTGTCATTGTCGCACTGGAGCTGCAACATGTAGACTCTGAAGGAAACTTCACAATGACGGCCACTAGTTTCAGGTCAGACTTACATGCCATGTGGTAGTGTAAAGTATGTTCCATTCAGTATAACCTGTGCTGTGTTTACATGTGTGACTGCATGTAGGAATGGCACATGTAAGCAGACGTCCACAAATTACGCTTTGACCAACACTCCAGGACGATTCTTCCACCATGTTGCAAGTATGTTTCTCCAACTTCCTTCCTCTCCTCATACTTGTTAAAATAACTCTTAAGTTCTGCCCTTGGTTATGCTAAACTAAATCTAAGTGCTCCTGGATCAACATCCCACAATGCATTCTGACCAACATTGCAATCAACTAATCATCACAGCCCTCTGACATCATCTCAGCCCTCTGACATCATCTGTGTGCTGCACCTGTGCTTCATGCAATATTGCTTTGTGCTTCTTTAGAGTTAAGCTAGCTCCCCAAAATTAAGTTGGTAAAATTGAACAAAATCCTCAGTAACATTAAGCTTGCGATTAGGCTAGAATTTTAGCAAGTTAGCTTGCTAACTAGGAAGGCTATACTAACGAGTAAGGTTGCCATAAGGCCAGAATATTAGCAAGTTAGCTTGCTGACTAGAAAGACTATGCTAACGAGTAAGCTTGCGATTAGGCTAGAACTTTTGGCAAGTTAGCTCGCTAACTAGGAAGGCTAAGCTAACGAGTAATATTGCCCATAGGCTAGAATATTAGCGAGTTAATCTGCTAACTAGGAAGGCTATGCTAACTAGTAAACTTGCCAATAGGCTAGAATATTAGCGAGTTAGCTTGCTTACTAGGAAGGCTATACTAAGGAGTAAGTTTGCCATAAGGCCAGAATATTAGAAAGTTAGCTTGCTATCTAGGAAGACTATGCTAATGAGTAAGCTTTCCAATAGGCTAAAATATTAGCGAGTTAGCTTGCTAACTAGGAAGGCTATGCTAACGACTAAGCTTGCCAATAGGCGAGAATATTAGCAAGTTAGCTTGCTAACTAGGAAGGCTAGGCTAACAAGTAAGCTTACCAATAGATTAGAATATTAGCGTGTTAGCTTGCTAACTAGGAAGGATATATGCTAACGACTAAGCTTGCCAATAGGCAAGAATATTAGCAAGTTAGCTTGCTTACTAGGAAGGCTAGGCTAACAAGTAAGCTTGCTAACAGGCTAGAATATTGACAAGTTAGCTTGCTATCTAGGAAGGCTATGCTAACATGTAAGCTTGCCAATTGGCTAAAATATTGTACACTAATGAAGAGGGTGGATAATATCATTTTTCAGTTGCAAATACCCACGATTAACACATTTTCCCTCTTTTTTATAGCCTTTTTTTTTTTTTTGCAATTGCAGTGCTTGTGTTGATCCAGGACCACACTGTCAAATAAAAACAGTTTTAAATAGGCAAGGAAAAAACTGCAAAATGACAAATGATCCAGAAACATGTCCTAACCCTAACACTAACCCTAACCCTGTGTTCCTGTCTGCAGGGTTCGGAGTGGACGTTGATTCCTTCGTGGTTCACTCCAGCTATGATGAGTACGCAATGATGCTGATACTGAGCACAGAGAAAGCATCAGGAAATAAAACCATCATAGTCAAGCTTTATAGTGAGTGACAATGGAATCTATATTAATTTGTAGCATTTTTTGTATGAATGTATTGTTTTTAATTGAAATTATGGATGACTCTGTGTGATGGTAATAATGTCCTCCTCAGGTCGAACTATGAGTGTGAGAGCAGCTGTGTTGGAGGACTTCAAAACTCTGGTCAGACAACATGGAGTGAGTGATGACACCATCATTATGAATCAGAATAAAGGTGATGCACACTAACATTAAGGACTCTCCTTAAAACCCTCCCTAGAGTATAAAACATTTCATTTTCTCCGGCGTTTTTTTTTTTTTTTACATGAGGCAACAAATGTTGTCTAAATGAAAGACAGACACCCCCCTTTCCATCTTACTGTCGTTCCAGGTGAGTGTGTTCCAGGTGAGCAGGTGACAAAGGCCACCACGACTCAGCCTCAGGTAGGTGCCTCACACCGTGATGTGCTGAAAAGACATTTGCATAATGAAACCAGAGATGTGAGTTTAATCAGTCACCAGCTAAACCTTGTATGTCTGTCATTAAGAGTTCTGATCCCAAGAGGAGGAAAAGAAATTCGGTGCTACCTATGGTTCCTGCACAGGAGGAGGACGCTGGTAACGTTTGGCCAGGTGAGAGCACACCTGAATAAAAACAACCAATCAGGGACAAGGAGTCTCTAATGCTGCTGTCAATCATGTCAGTCGTTGTTGGTGAACTGCGGTCAAACTGTTAAACTAGGCAGCGTTAATCAAATGAACCAAGATTCTGTTTATTCTAACAGTGACTGACATGACTGGCAGCTGTTAGAGACTCTTCAGCTCTGACTGGTTGTTGGCGTGTCATGAATGCCATTAGAAGCAGTAGGAAGAGGAGACAGTGCAGACTAATTGCCTCATGTACCCCTTTAAAATTTAGTGACAGTTTCAGCAATTATGATACGTTATTTTCATAAACGTTACCAATTGTAGCTTTAAAGGTTACAAAAAAACTAATTGCGCTCAGTGTTAAATTCCTCTCATTATACACTCACTCTGGCTACCACAGATCACATGTGGTAGCCCATGGGATCAGTAATTCTCACATATTCAATGTCATCAACATTTTATTCAATTTCATGTCTTCATGTTTTGCCTTTATCAGACAGTGTGGAGTGAAGAGATGACAGAGAGGACAGAAATGTTGAAAATAAACTGCAGCATGCCAAGCCTTTTTACTTCACATCCTCACACACACTCTAAAGCAGGGATAGCCTGCTTGCTTTTCCCAGAGGCCTTGTTGGCAAAATGACAGGAGGCCAGGGGGAAGTTAATAGACAAATATTGATGATATTTATCAGTATATAATAAATAAATTGCCTGTTTCCAACCTTTAAGTGTTTGCATCCTCGCCAAGAGGCAAATCCAGTCCCAGCAGCCCTGCACAGGTCAGGTGTATGCAGGGGTGTTTCTAGGATTTGAGGACTGGGGGGATCCTCCAGTGGCACTTTTCAAAATTAATAAACAAGCTCTGTTTTGCTGATTTTTGTGCACTCTGGCCCCTTATTCAAATTCAAAGCATAATTTATTTTCACTGAGAATTAGAAAATGGCTGGCTGGCCACCCAACACTGGGCCAGATTTGGCCTGCAGGCAGGAGGTTGAGTATCACTGCTCTAAAGCATTCAATTGTGTGCATACAAATATCAAATCTAAAAAAAAAAGAAATAAAGAAAAACATGACACATATTGTATTTCTATCCAGTTTGAGCATATTAATATTTAGTTTACTGTTACAGGGTGGACAGATCATGTGGAATAACTGAAGAGGAGAATCGTCACACAAACCAGACTATCATGTTGTCACACTACTATGCTGAGTGTAAAAAAAAAAAAAAAAAATTACTCAGTGGATAAAATGACCCTGTTTTGTTGGTACTGACTTCTGTAGATCGGAACATACTGTATGATTACCATATGTTACACTATAACTATTGTCTTGTATTTTCATATTCATAATATGCTTGATATGTCAAAATCAATTTATAATGGCACCTTGCAAATAAAATGATTCCATTTTTATCAGTGTGAACCTGATCTTTCAGAGCTCTGAACTCTGTAAGAAGTTAAATTTAACTCCCCTTGCTGATGAAATAAATACTTGGGAGCAATATTTATTGTTTAGATATACTGGTTAGCACTCTAACTCCAAATACTATATTGTTTTAAATGTATTGATTATCTATGTTCTATTCTTTATCATGGAGGGAACATGATCTGAAATTGAGGAAAAATTAACGACGTGTTTCATAGTTTACACTTTCTACCTGCCATACATGCCTTTCTCTCAATTCACCATGTAAATTTCCACTAGCCCGCCTCTCCACTACACCTACCTGCCAGCCTATCACCTGTCCATACATCTCCTGCTCCTGTTGATCCACCACACACACCTCATTAAGCCAGCTCTGCTCACCTGTTGCTCATTACTCCCTGCCACTATAAATATCCCAGCTTTACAGACTCTCGTGGCCAGATTGGTCTTTGTCATATTCATGCAAGACTTTCCAGTGTGTGTTCCTGGACTGCTTTCTTGTTGCTGACCTTACCTGTCACTGACTCTCCTGCTTTGTCTGCTCCCTGGTAAACCACTTAGCCTTCTATCCCCAACCAAGAGCTCACCTGGTATCTGACCCTCTGTTTGTCTGACTTTGCCTCCTGTCTTCTCTGTCACGGAACCACTGCACATGTTGGAACTGTTTGCTGTTTGTGTGCATCCAGCAGACACCTGTGACTCACCTGCTCTCTGCTTCGGTGTGCTAGGCCAAGTACTCAGTACTGAACCTGTATCTTGGAAGGCTCTGAGCCAAGAAATTGACTCACTCTGTTATTTCACCTGCCTGCCCATTCTGTGTTTGACAAGCAAACACAGGACATTACGAACTTTCCTGTTTGCCTTTGGTGCTGCAATTTGGTTCTTACCATACCCGTGACAATGTCAGCAACCAACATTACATGTTTTCATGATGCTTGCATGTAGCTTCATGTGGCAGTGTAGGCTACATAAAGTGAACACTTGCGTAGTGTTCAGATTGGTAGGTTTTTGCTCACAGGGATTACTTTTATGTACGTTTGCCTTATAATTTGAAACTTTGGTGAAGTTTAATATGAACATCCTTTATTACAACATGACACAAATACAGAAAAGCGTAATAGTTCCCCTTTAAGTGTTGATTATTCATTCATAATACATAACTGCTTATCCTGTTAAGGGTCACAGGAGGGCTGGAGCCTATCCCAGCTGACACTGGGCAAGAGGCGGGGTACATCCTGGACAGGTCCCCAGACTATCACAGGGGTGACACATAGAGACTGACAACCATTCCCATCTATGGGCAACTTGGAGTCACCAGTTAACCTAACCTGCATGTCTTTAAGACATGTCCAATGGGCCCAAGTCAATGGATTCGAACCCAGAATCCTTTAGCAGTGAGGCAACAGTACTAACCCATAACTAACCCAATAACTTTCATTTCATTTGATGTACAGAGCTCCTAAAAAATGGTGGCCTAACATAGTGGTTCTCAACCCTTATTGTGTCAAGGACCCCTCAATTAATACACATAGTTCAAGTGCCCCCATTTCTCTGTCTGAAACAGTTATGATTGTTAGATATGGTTAAGATCAGAATTCCATACTGATCAACATCAGTTGAGTTGATAATTGTGAAAGTAAGTAAAACCTATCAGAATATTTACTCTTAAGAGTCTTACTAACACTTGACTCACTTCTATAGCGAATTAAATAGTAAAAATAAACCATTACCCATTTGTCTGGGTACCCCCCCGGAATTTACCCAAGGAGCCCCGGAGGCCTTGACCCCTGGTTGAGAACCATTGGCCTACCATATAGAATACAGGATACAATATCACGTTACTCATGAGTCTCTCAGATCATGGTACGTATTGATTTACTGTTACCAAATCTCTGGAGTCCAACGTTCAAATGATCAGCCGCTCAGGCAAGTCAAAGCACAAAGCAGAACTTTGCTCTTTTACTTATTTGTTTTTTACTTGGCTAAGGGAATGAGTGCATGCACAGTACACAAAACACAGGTCAATGCCCTGTCCCCATTTGAAGAGTTGAGTGGGGGGTGTAAGAAACAATGAGGAGGTGGCCCTTTCTGGGGGATTCAGTGTCTCAGGCATCACTCCTCTCAGAGACGAGTGGACACACAGGCTGTCAGGATGCAGAAGGCAGTGATTCTGGTTTCCTTGCTGGTCCTGGGTTGGTCCCAGACCCTTCAGGGACTCCCTACACTTCCAGAGCCTCTCTATCCTACACAGGAGAACTTTGACCTGAACAGGGTGAGTTTTGAGTTTTTCTCTCTTTTATGTTTATCATTCTGTCTTTTTTTTAATGCATACATTCAGTATACAAGGTAAAAGGCAGAAGCACAGTTCTTATGTGTTTTCTTTTCTACCCTTTACTGTCAGTTATTAGATTAATATCCTTTGATATTTTGGGGATAAAATGTGTCATCCTGCCAGCTGTGGAAACTTTCATATATTAAAAACATTACAATCATGAATAGAAAATAAAACCTCTCATGATCTTCACCTGTGAAATGTTGAAACTGTGAAAGCAATTTGGGCCAGAGACGATAGTTTATATTGTCTGCGTTAAGTGAGACTTTGTGTTCAGAAGTTTTTCATCGTGAGAACTATTATCATGAGCTCTTCAAAGGACTCATGATAATAGTTCTCACGATGAAAAACTTCTGAACACAAAGTCTCACGAGCTCTTCAAAGGGTTTGATATCTTGCAATTGGTTGAGTATGCGTCCTCTATTAGTGCCTCTTACAAATGTTAATGCAGCTAAAAGAAACTGTGTCAAGTTCTGCCCGCTACATGCATTGTCTTCTTTCAAAATATTCGTCCACTTTACCGTTTACATACAGTCTCTTGCAAAATAAACACACTATGTCAGTACAACACCGTGAATTGACATTTTCCCCTTTTAACAACAGAAACACATGGTTAGGTTTAGGAAAGAAAGAACAGGGTTTGACTTTAGAATGTTACAGGACAAGAACACTGCTCTCTTGGGATGAAAGTCATGTATTTGTTTGCTGATCCTGCCCCAGCATCAGCCTTAACCACAAAATATAAAACCAAAAATAAAATTCCCTAAAGACTAATCTCCTCCTGCTTCCTTTTGACTGGCTAACACACTCACTGCAAAACTTTGCCTGAGACAATGTAAATATAGGCTCTTCCAATCTGCATGGTGGAATTTGTTTGCCTGATTTACAGAGAATCACGCCCGGGGACAGGCATTTAGAATAACTATATAGAAATAGCCAATCTTCTCGCTGATTGCCTCATTTGCTTAGGTAGGTCATATGAGGACATCAGTATTGAATTGAGACTATTTCATAACCAGTTAAAAAAAAATTTGTAGCTGCTTTAAAGTGTCCTGAGAAGTATCTTTAAAACAAATACAATACAATAAATATCAAAATCTAGAAATATAATTAATACTTTAAAGTTAAAACTTTATATGGTTTTAGTTGGGAAGGTTGTAGTGATGGGATATGCAGTACTGGTCCCAGTTGCGCGAAATGTTTTCATTTTGTAACAACTTTATTTTTATAGTACTCAGTAAATGTGTATTTTAATAAAGTGAGATGAACAAAATTATTTTTGTGTTTTTGAATAGAGCTTATAGTTTTTTTGTGTATTACATCAGTAATATTTAAATAGATTATGGACCTCTTTTTCACAGTTTTTGGGAACATGGCATGACGTTGCCGTGGCGAGTTCATGTCCCTATATGCAACGAAACAGGGGAGATGCAGCCATTGGGACACTGATCCTGCAGAGCGGCACTGAAGGCAAACTCAAGACGACTCGAAGGGTACTCAGGTTTGTAGGAAGTGCACAGTTACACAAACACACTACTGCACAAATACTGTGTATCAAAACATATGTTTTTGAAATTTGGAAAAAATAAGAATGTCGAAAGTGAAAATTTGGAATGTTTAATCTTAAAATTTTTGACTCTCTCTCCAAATATTTTGTACTTGCTTGATCTGACAACATTTCAGTGCAAAATTTAAAGTGTAAAATCCAGTGGTGGAAGGTCACTAACTATAAATACTAGGTCTACAGTGCTGAATTGTACATTTTTAACTTGAGTATTTCCATTTTACACCATGTTATACTTGTTCCTCTCCACTAAATTTCAGAGGGAAGTACTGTACTTTGTCCTTCATCAGACAGATCAGATGACACAAAATATAATATGTGATATGATGAGTTATTATAGATTGATAGCCAACAGTATTTTAAGAGGTTAAAATTAGCACCACCTTTACCAGCTTCAGCATTAAAAACATTAAAAATAATTCAATGATATATTTTAGGGATGAGCAAGTGCTTCATTATCTGTAGCTGTATGTGTATGTGGTCAGCCAATAAAATCTGTATCCATATCTGTACTCTGAATGGGCGGGGTTAAAACTGGACTTGGGTGGGGCCTAAGTCAATTTTCTCTTGGAAGATACTTGTACCTGTAAAAAGTACATTATCTGTACCGGATGCTTGTTTCATCGAAGTATTAGCTCAACCCTAATATATATTCTTCCCAAACATGATTTGTGCGACAATTCATATCTAAATGTTTTGTGTATGTGCAGGCAAGGAACATGTAAGGAGATGACTGTGGACTATGAGTTGACCACCACACCAGGACGATTTACCTACCATGTTGCCAGTATGTTTCCCTCTGTGTAATCCTGCAGTGACACAGCTCGCTTTGCAATTCATGTTGTCCACAAAGTTTCTTTACAGGTAATATTTTCTCTCAATGTCCTTTCAACAGGGTGGGCAGCAGACGTGGATGCCTACGTGGTTCACACAAACTACAATGAGTATGCAATAGTGATAATGGGCAAACAGAAATCGTCAGGGGATAAGAGCACCTCCGTTAAGCTTTACAGTGAGTGGACACTTTTCATACATGCCCTGGAACATTTCACTCTGTTATTTATTTACTAATTTCAGCTTTAATTAACTAA